ATGCTTCAGAGACCTGGATAAGCTTCAGCTGGAGAAAAATTGGTCTTTAAGATGCCCAAAAGACTAAGAATAATTTGTTTTGTTTTGTTTGTTATTTCTTTGTAATTCAAGACTTAGGGTATTGAGTCAAATATATTCAACAAATGCAATGTATTGCATGTTTTTTTTTCCTAGTCTGATGATGCAATAAACCATGAAAAACTTTATGATCTTGTTGCTGTTGTCATACATTGTGGCAGGTGAATGATTTCTTCTGAAATTCACATCTTCTGTATTTTCTGTAAACATTCAATAATTTTCCTCGCAATTTCTGGTGAAAGTGTTATACAAGCAGGTGAAGTGAAATTAGAAAATTATCATCAAGAGAAGTTGTATAAAATGCCAGATTCTTGTGATAGCCTGGAAACATATGTATCAATGATAATCCCGTAAGGAAATAACTCTATGCACCATAGGTTGTAATAATTAGCGAAACTTGTAATCATGTCACTTAGATCTGTTAGTCTGTAAAGAGGTTTAAAATTTTTCTGCTAGTACTTTTGGGTGCTGACTTTTAAATTGCTGTTTAGTTCATGGCATATCATTTTTAATTTTGTTATTTCAGTGGACCAAACCGGGGACATTATATTACTATTGTGAAAAGCCATGGCCTTTGGCTTCTCTTTGATGATGATATTGTAGAGGTTAGTGCACTACTTGGAATGGGGTTGTTGTTGTCATTTTTAAAATACATCAAATTGTTTTCAGGTGACAGTTATTTACAGGTATTTCCACAGTAAACAACTTTTACATTCATGTATTTAGGAGCCCAGTGTTCACTACTTAAAAATGACAAGGCAAAATTTGAGATATGCTGAACTTGAAGTTTATCACATCAACAAGTGCTTCACTGAAATCCAAATACACATATTCACTGAAAAAAGCAAAATAGAAACCAAATCAACAACAAACAAAAAGGTCCAATCAGTAAAAACAGATCAATATTTTTATGCCTTGTTCTGTTGATAAACTAAGGAAAAAAACCTAACTCCACAATAAAAACAAGCTTAACTCACTTGAACTGAAAACCATGTGCTTAACGAAAGTCTATATCCTTAACTGTGACCATGATACATCAAGCATTTTTTTATGACCCAATATCCATGAAAAGAATTCAGTTCCCTGCTAATAAGGAGAAATTAAGTATTAACAACATTTTTATCCTTTCATAAACTTGAGAATTTTTAGCTACTAATACCAGTTTGCCATAATCAAAATACCATTGACCTTTTTCACTATTATTTTGCTTTCATCAGAAAATCGAAGCTCAAGCAATAGAGGAGTTCTATGGTTTGACATCAGAAATCCAAAAGTCTTCCGAGTCAGGCTACATCCTATTTTATGAAGCAAGGGGTTAGATTGAAAATAATGCTACTAAAATGTATTTCTTAGCACTAATTTTTAAGGGACTTTTAGGTGTCTAGGGGCTCAAGGCAAACATGATCCAATAATACACAGGCTTAGGGTTAGACTTGGCAAAAGTGTTGTGAACAGATATTGTCCACAACACTTTCACAGGTCTAAGTCATCTTTTTTGTCTTTTATTAAGCCTTTAAAACCCAAGATCAGATTGTAAATTCTCCCATCTAACTGGTACACATTTATGACACCAGTTATGAGAATTTGGTGTTAGATCAAGATAAAAACTTCTGCTTGATAAGCCTAAGTATTGTCATTGCCCGTTTCCAGGATAAAGTATTGGCAATTGTAAGGAGAAGTTACATTTCAATCACGTCTAGGAGTTTAAGGGTTAACCTGAACTGCAATTGTTACTAGTGCAATGCTGGGTAAACTTCAAATTATGTTTTAGGAAATGCTTTTTCCTCTTCTCTCTCCTTTGTCCTTTTTATTTTTTTTCCTGCAACATTCTTGTAAACTAAGATACTTGAAAAGTGTCAACAGGTTAAGTGCTGCAAGAGTGGGTTTAAAAAAAAGGAAATTTATCACAATTTATTTAATCTCAACTTTGGCATAAGAGACTAGTGTCTTCTCTTCCTCATCATTAAGTTAGGCATCCAGTTTGGTTTTGTCTCCAAAATTCAGTAGACCCAGTTCCCTTTTAGCAATTTCTAATGAGCTTTAGGCACTGGTTACTGAGATTTCTGCAAGCACATGTAGGTTACAAATACAGAAGATCTTTACCCAGTAGGCAAGTTAATATTAAGTTAGTCTTGAGCTCCGAAAGACTCTATCAAGTAAATTCTGCAACTGTTTTGATAATCAGGAAGAATGTGTAATTTTTTTTTACTCTGATAGGAATTGTTTTCTTGTGATAGGTAGCTAGCTTTGGATGTCAACTGTAAAGGACAGTGGCTGTAAGATAAACTGTAATCAATCAAGCATTCAGTTGACCTGTAATGCTACAATGTAAATTTTTTTGGTGGCTGTTGCTTGGTATTATTTTGTCTTTCAAAACTTGCAAACTTTGAAGTTCAAAACCCAGCAAAGGCAAGAAGTAGTGGTCCAATTTCTATCTTTGGAATTGTGGAATTAGTGTACAAGTAACAGAGAGAGATGTCGTTCATCTTGTCACAAGCATGGGATGAAGAATGAATTATGCTTCCCCTTGAGGAGTCAAACCTCAAGAGCTCAGATCTTTAGATTCCATGCTCTAATGCTCAATGTTGCATTTTTAAGAGAGCCAGATTTCCCTGAAGAGATGTGTAATTTAAAATATTACACTTTCGACAAAACTTTGGTGTGTTTCAACCTTTAAGATTGGAAAGGTAATTCCTCAAACAAGAGACAACACCTTTCTTGTTACCTTATAGTGAGAATCAACTGCTAAGTAGAAGTAATTCTCAATGTTGAAAACTTATTTTGAAATCTCATTTCCTGTCCGTTGTGTTGTGTATCAGAATTTTAAGGAGAATTAAAGCTCTGATCACTCTTATCAAGAGTCTCAGTTTGCTAGTTGTTATGAAATCTTAATATTCATCAGTTTTAACTTCAGAGTTTGCATTATGAGGTGAAATAACTACAATCAGTTCTGTGATATCATTATGCTGTTTGAGAATGTATCTTGCTGTACAGTTTTAATTTCTATGAACATGCAATAAAGTATAAACCATCATGTAGCCTGCTGTACATGTCAAGGGTGTGTTTTACTATGAATACACAACTCCATATCCTGTTTCCAAAACATGATGGATGACCCACTTTCCCTCTATCAGCTACAAAAAGGGTTGAAACATCATGCATGTTATAATGGGTGATCCAGCTTTGCAAAATAATTCTCAAGTCATTTCATGCATTAATGAACATTTTTTTTTTTTTAATCAAGGGTGATCTGGCTTTGCAAAACATTTCTCTCCAATGATTTTATTCATTAGCAACTTTTTAAAATCCACTTTGTATTATTGTTACTTCTATGCAAGTCAGAGAAGACCTCTTCTTGATGCTGATTAATTTTTATTTATTTAATTTTTTGAGACAAATAACTTGTGATGAGGTCACTTCTCTGTGGTTCAGAACCTTTTGTCAGTACATGAACACCTCATCCAGTGCAGGAGGTCTTTCTGATACAGTACATTGTTGTAAAACTATTTCAATGGCTTTTATGTAACATATTACACTATTAATGACACAAGATGACTTAAAAGATAGGATGCCAAAACAATGATAAACCATAGTAAACTTCCACTGATTGAATGAAATCAAAATGGACTTTTTAACAACACAAATACAAGATCAGGGAACTTGAAAATAAAGTCAGTTGTAGTGCTAACATGACAGAGAACTTTCACTACTAAGACATAAATATGAAACAAAACAAAAATATCATTCAGGTTAATCAAATGGTAAACATAGGGCTCAACCACTTCTTACAAAATGGTAGTCTGTACTGAAGTTGTGTTTACAATGAAGATCATGGTAGTGTTTTTAAACAAGGAAACTCTGTGGGCTGGTTATTTATACAAGGTCTAACCCAAAGTACAGTTTTATGCATGAAGTGGGCCTTACATATTCTCTAATAAAGGGTTGTTCTCATTACACAAATGTCCTTCCACTAACTTCTGGCCTTCTTGACAATGTTCACAAAAATAAATGTTGGAATAGAAGATTCAACTAAATTCAAGAAAGTTTAGAACATGGTTTTGTTAAACAATGACTAAACTTTGTTGAAATAACTGGCCCTCTATGTACTAGGCACAACTCCAAAGTGTTTACTCTTGTGGCATTTGGACTTAAAATGCCCACCGATTAAATAAGTTTAGTAATCAAAGCCAGCCCTGTTGACAGTGTATTCTTCTGGGAAATCGAAATAAAACTTGTTCTCTTGGCTTATTAAAGGCAGAATACCAGCATTTGGGATAACATTCCATGATAAATAGAGGCTGACATTCTTGTTTCCCCTGCAGAAGGGTAAAAACAGTTTGTTATATTGTGTTACAATACTTCTACAGACTTAGCTTTAACAGAGGTGAGAAAAACCCAGTCCTCTTAACATGGGCAAATAACATTTTTATTGCTACTCAGTTTTTTTTTTAATGGATTCCCCAAAGTTTTAAGAGCTAAAATATCTAATTTTCAGTCAGTTGTGTTCCAAAATGCAAGCAAAATAATTTCACAAAAATTTTGGAGAAGTTACAGAGGTTGGGTTTCACATGTTACTAGTAACTACAGTTGTACATGTATAATCAATACAATAATGTAAATGAAGAAAAATTACTCGCTTCTGGTTGACTGAAAATGTGTGCATTCTCAAGTAATATGAGTGCAAAGTTGAAACATGAGTACAAATTACAAACAGCATGCAAATGCTATCAAAATTTTGTCTGGCTTGGCTTGGCTGTATGTTATTAACAAGTAATAACATGATTTCTCTTGCAAATTTGGTGTAATGAGCACTTGTAAATTTTTCAGGGCCCACAAATTGCACTTGCCCTACAGGCTTGTGCAATTTCGTTGTCTTTGAAAAATTTACTTGTGCTTATTAACACCAAATTGCTCTCGAAATCATGTTATTACCAATACTGATTGTGATGATGTAGTGATAATACAGTTGTGGATTTTTTTCTTTTAACATTTATTTTGGCAATAATGGTGATCCCAATAACACTCCTTATACAAATAACATCCAAGCCTGGCTTTGGCTGAAACTTTTTTTTTTTTGGTTTGCACTTACTTGAGTCCAAGACCATCATCAAAGAAGTAATACTTGGTGTTCATGCCATGATAGTGTAGAACTGCACTGTCTCCACGCAAGATGATCTTATCCCAAATCACAACTTGGTTAAATTTCTGAATAAGAGAATTAACAAGAAAATATTCAAATTGGACTGGTTAATGTAAAGGGAATAAACCCCAAGACTGACCAGCATCTAATTTCTCCTTACAGAAATACTGCTAAATCATCCATTAAGATAATGAGAGTAAAGGTAATGATCACCACCCTAAGAAGCTTTGATTCTTAAACAAATTCTCCTTATCAGTACCAAAGGAAATTTATAGAGAACAGAATGGAGAATATACATACTGATGTTATGATGTACAGGGTTTAAGTTAGCCATGAGAATTAACCCTTTACATCCTAACATCAGTATGCATATTCTCCATACTATTCCCTATACGTTTCCTAAGCTGTTGACAAGGAGAACTTATAAAACAGTCAAGAGTTTCTTTAGTTTCTGATCACTTCCCTAATTCTTGTGTCCTATAAGTGAGGTTTAGGAGTGATGCTGTAAGGAGAAATTACCATAAAAAAACCCGCAGATAAGCTGCACCCTGAATTTAACAGCTCAAATTTTGGAAAAAAAGTTTTTTTGAAAGAAATAAAAAGAAATCCAAAGTTGAGTCTTGAGAATTCTTCTTCATCCACTGTTCATTGAACGTAACCTCACCATTAACATTGCAATGGAAAATACTTCAAAGTCTTACCCATAATTTTAGAAATTTAATATAAGAAACATTGTTTCTACCAACTTTGACCTATGACTGATCTTTTTCTAGTATTTGTTGACAGGAATTTCTTCATTCCACACAGTTTTTCCATAAATTTTTGCATTGAAACAAGAATGTGAGCTGAACATTTGAAGCCTAGTAACCAGGCATTAGATTGGCAG